TGCCTTTCCTCTTCTCTCTCTGTCTACGACTCCTTCTACCTCCTCTCCTTCTTTGACCAGCAGTAGTCCAATTCCTGCCAGCACCCTGTAGGTCAACAGCACTGGTGGCGGTCATTGTTAACCCGGGCCTCAACTGATCCCGTATGGAATTCACATTGATGATTCGCATGTTTAAATTTGGCACGTTTTTAGGCCGGATACCCTTCCTGACGCCACCCTCTCTATTTATCCGGGCTTGGGACCGGCACAGAAGTCACTCGCTTGCAACCCCTGTGGCTAGATTCTGAGCACCCTTGTATACAGAGGTTAAATACTGTCTGTGACAGTCTTATGCCAGATGTCATGATTGGGTGTAGAGCCTTAAGGCAGCAAACTACTAAAAATTAATGTGAAACTGCTGCCAAACACAGTGCTGTAAGTAAAGGTTTTTGAAATCACCACAGTTTAAGCTTTAATGGTTAACTCTGTCTTAACAGTCTGACCTGAGTGTCCAAATCCTCTCCCCATTTTCAACTTTGAGTGAACAGAGGAAAGAGAAATGAGGATTTAAACAAAGGTTATATCCAGACCATAGGACATTTATGTTGCAGTGTTGCCTAGTGGTGTTTTTCCACCACAAGAACTTAATTGAACAGTAGTCTGGAGCTTCCCATACCTGTGATCTAGTGGAACTTGAAGGGTTGGTGTGGTCTGGCCTGCTTTGCTTTTCTACTGCATTTTCCCTGTTAGGTCACTGTTTTATATGAGGGCAGGGCTGCGCTCCTCACACACACACACACAAGCAGTGAGTGAGTGCTATGCTCATTAATCATGCATGCAACTAAATCAGCCAATAACAGACTGTATGATCTGTTTATCAAACAGCTGTTGAACAAGCAGAACACAAACTTGCAAAAAAATGGCGACTTCTCCACTTTGCCTGTAGTTCACTCACTGAAGTACCTGTGTTCCCTATGACCACGACTCTAGGTGTAACAAAGTTACCATGAGCTGTAACCCTCACTGATATGATCAAGTCACAGATTTTGTTGTCTTTCATTTCTATATAACCGGTTTCTTCCGATGTGACTTTGTGTGATGGTTCTCTTTTTTGTTCATTATATTCTCCATTTACATAAAATCATAACGTCAAGGAGATCACATGTCCCTCAGAATTTTTATTATGGTCAAAAATCCAGTCAGTCATTAGTGGACATTTGAAAAGATTCTTTGTGACAGTAATAACCTGAGAGTTCATGTACATTTAACACCCACTCAGGTAGCGGTCCCAGTGTTTTCTACCATGCAGTCTGTCTTCAAAGCAGACCTCAGTGCCACCACACTGAGTCAAGATACAGGATGAGAAAAGATTATGTATAATTCATTATGCTGAGATTATGACTTGGTCTATGAATGACTGAACTCTCTCACACCCAGTCACAGAAATACTTAATCACACATGAAAACACAGACACCAGGGAAACTTTGTTGCTCTCCTCAGCAAGGGTAATTTATTTCAAGTAGCAAGTTGTCTGTGCTTTAAACATATGGCTCTAAATAGCAGCTTCACAGAAGCTAAGGGAAACCATGGGACCCTATTTACTCTACCCCAGAGGACTTAGCATACATATTGTGAGTCTGTGTATGTGTGTCTCTCTCTCTCTTATGGAGATGGATATGAATTACCATAATGCATTACCGTGTATGTGCATATCTACAGTAGGTCATGTGTTTTCTCTGTCTTTCCAGGACATAAGGAAGCAAGAGTGGACAGCCATCATTCCCAACTCTCAGCTCATTGTCATTCCCTACCCACACAATAAACCTCGCAGGTACCTAAACACACATACTTGTTGATATAGCATAGTACAGGAGGGTCATAAGTACCTGTGTTCCTTGTTCACAGTAATGTTATTTTTGTTGGAAACCCACTGATATTTGTTGCTATGGATACCAGTCACCTCATCTGATTGCACTTAATGACCTTTTCACGTAATGTTACCTCAGCCTGATGGAGATCGTGCCTCTGTGCTGCGTCTTTACAGCAGTGCCCCGATGTGAGCATGCTGGCTTTCTCTCTCACACAGACACACACACACACACACACACACACACACACACACAGTCACTTCACAGCATGTGTTCTCATGTTATCATGATGTTGTTCCCATGTAGCTCAAACCCCTGTAGAAGCTCCAGATGGCTGTTCAACACACACACACACACACACATACACCACACACTTGTGTGCTCGCCAGGTTTGCCAGCACAGACACACACCATAAGTGAAATCGGATATAACTAGAAAAACCAGGTGCCTCAGTATTCTTCTCACATACAGTGTGACTGAACATACTGTGAAATGATAAATGTAATATATCAAACTGTTGCAATGATATAAAAAACAGAAGCAGAGCAGAGCATCACTCTACTGCAACAACAAAGTAAAAAAGATGCTCATTTATTTATTTTAACTTAATTAGGACACAGTCTCTGCTAATGTGAACCATTTGGTAATTACATTGTTTTTCTGCCAAGTAAAACTATGATGAAACATAGAACATATGGCAAGTCCTTGGTTTTTTTCACTCCCCCTCTCTCTTCCTCTAGTTGGAGTGCTAAGCTGTACCTGACTCCTAGCAACAGCGTGTTGCTGACGGCCATTGCACTGATCGGAGTTTGCGTCTTCATCCTCGTTATCATTGGCATCTTCCACTGGCAAGAGAAGGTCAGGGACACACACAAACATGTAGCTGATGTTGGCCTCTGTCTGGTGATTTACTGCTTTACGGTGTGTGAGAGAGAGAGTGTGTGTGTGTATGTGAGAGAGAGTGAGAGAGCAGATTGGTCACAACCAGCAGCAGATGGGTCCCACTCTCCCTGTCCTGTAGTCCTCTAGCCTCCTTCTGAGCCACACAGAGACACACTCTCTTTGTCTGTCTGCCTAAGCCTCTCTCTCTCCGCGGGCCACAACCTGGAAAGACATTCAACTAATTGCCTTCTCCTGTCCTTTCAGCATGGCAGATCTGTTCATTATGGCTGTAAATACACCCTCCAGGGAGTCAATACATGTGTTTTGTGCTTCAGCTCCTCACCGAGTACGGTCACGGCACCGGGTACCTGACATAGTGTTGCTGAGAATACACAGACACCAAAATGATTTAACTTTTGATTTGTTCTTTTGATTGTTTCATTTTTCATCTACCCACACTGTGGTTATGCTGTCTGCAGTAAGTTGTTGGCATCTTTGCCAAGCCATCTGCTGTGTGAGTGTGTGCACTTACAGTCATGTGTGCATGTTTGTGTCTTTGTGTGTGTACTCACAGGGTGGCATGTGTGTACAGTTACACACACAGAAGCCCTCTTATTGTCCTGTTTTTGGGAAGCGTGGGTGTGAACATCAGTTTCAACTACATGGATGCTGCATTTAAAAATAACATGATTGGTGCTTTAATCGAGCAGCATGTGCAGTTTGACGCCTTGTGGGCCAGTGAGAGGAACCAAGAGGAAAAAGCTCATTTTAAAAAGTGAATTCACTTTTATTGACTCGCAGTATAAACTTAAAATCTGATCTTGCATGTTCACTAGGTATTTTGAAGGGCTTGAAGGCACAAAGAACAGAGTATTTAGCTTTGCTTGGACTGATTAACATAAAACATTTCTGCCTTGTCCACTACTCCCCCAGCAGTAAAAAGCAGTCGCTGGTTCTAGAAGTATTTTGTGCCCTTCTAATTATTTATGCCTTTTAGTAATTCTTAAAGGATAAGGCTGGTCAGTTTCTATATTAACAGTATTTTAAACACTCCCTATACAGAGACTAAAACAAACAGTGGTTTGCTTCTACTCATGATTAATGTTTGTCAGTTGGAAATTGATTTGTTTTTAAATTGTATTTTTATCTTTTTTTATATATATAGGTTTGGGTGTGTGTGTATGAATGCAGGTGGATGTGTGTGAGGATGGATGCATGGGTGTTAAATTATTGGTAGTTTTCTTTTATGTTTTTGAATTTAATTTAATTGACAAAAAATTGTCTTCATGTACGACCTTAGTGATTGCACTACAGTAAGATGCTGACTGAGAAAATTGGTTTGTGGGATGTTTAGGGAGTTTTTTGGTTTTACTATTTCAACTATAATTATTTCAACTTCATTTCAGAGAAAAAAATCTTGTTTCTTTTTATCTTTAATAATACAATATTGAAGCTGGTCAGATATACCAGACCAGAGCAGTTTAGAACACATGGAACTGCAGCTGGCAAAGACATCTACCACTAACTAAGAATAAAAGGAATTTGATTCAAACTGCTAAATGTAAAGCATCATCTTTAGATTCTACTATGTTTGCAGCACAGAGATAAATTTAGATGATTGGATTTCTCACTAAAATGGTTGACATTTCCACTCACAGATTTGACTTTTGGTGTCCTCTGACACAGTTACTTAACATTTATGCTGGTAACTCCACCAGGAGAGCCTCATGCCTGTCCCAGCTTTGGAATTGGAATGGTGCCAACTACCAGTCACCAAACATTGTACTTGCTAAGAAATTACCATGACCTTTATTTCCAGAACCGTGGACACCTGAAGTATCTCTTCCCAATTTGCAATGATATATAGTATACAACATCATCTTTATGTGGGCCTAGAGAGAATCATTTCTAATCATAAGTCAAGAGTTCTAATTGAATGGGTTTCTGTGTACAGTGGGCTACAGCACTTCTCTGTTCCTGAAGCCCAGCAGCGATGTCTCTGTCTGGGGTGGATGAACAGAACAGCACTGTGTGCAGACTGACAACTTTTGAAAACACAAATCAATTTGATTTAATCTGGAGTGTCAGCTGGCCTAAATAATTGAAGGGCACACATCTGGAGCAACAGGCTAATGTAGAGCAACCTCCTGCACCAGCCAGGGAATTAAGATTGAAGCTGAATCCTGTATGCGCACTGTATACACCCTCCCTCAGATCTCTTCTTCTCCCACTTCGTTGCTGGTGGGGCACCTAGTAAGGTCAGGGCAAGCCCACTGATTGACATCTGGCATTTCTGTCTGTTTGAGCTGCCGCCTCTGGTATTTGTTCATCTAATAACAAAGTCAGGTAGAGGGCAGAGGCATGGGGCAAAGACGTGCTGTCCTAACAAGTTAACGGCCTTTACACAGCTCCTGTGAATCCGTGTGCAGTACAGTATTGGCTGGGGTAATAATGGATATTAAACAATCATATCCATATGAGTATAGAAAGGAAAGGAGCATAGTCTTTAAAATAAATAGAAAGACATGCAAGATGTAATCAGTCTCTTCACCTGAGGCGCATCATCTTCATGCAGAATATATAGGCCAGAGTGAGCTGGTTGCCATTAGAGCCCAGTGAGACTTCAGTGTGCCGCACTGTAGCTTCCCAACTGGTTTCAGACACAGACACACCACTGCATCATAAAAACCTGTAGATGGACACAAATCAGTGATCTGCAGCTTAATGATCATTCAGGCCTCACGATGGCACCACCCAGTGAATCAGGCATCCACAGGAAAGAACATCACATCAATCCACCTGCTCCTTAAACACATGTTGTTGTAACCATCAGCCAGTAGCCTGATAGATGAAGGCTTTGTTACAAACCAAAAGTGGCGCTGCAGTAAATGTGATGCTGCCTGTCTTTTTTGTGCAGCACAATAGTCAACATAAAGGAAAGTTTGACAGCCCTTTCATAGGGGACAGTCATTTCAAAGAGTCTTTCTTATGTACCAAGTTGACTTCAGTCCTTTTCAGAGAAAATGTTGCTTTACGGCAACATTAAGACAAAAATGAAGGTAGAAAACATGTTAATAACCCCAAAGGTAGGGTACCAAGGTATTTGGTCCAGTACTAAAACTTAAGCATCACATTGTCACTAGTATTACAGAAATTCTCAGCCCTATTCACTGAAGTAACAACAAATCGTATTTCTACCCAGTCATGCTCCCGTTTTCTTTATAGGTAGCGAGGGATCAGACTAAGCTAGGACAATGTTTCTGACCTGCTTAGGAGCTCAGTGAGTGAGGATCGAAGTAGTACTTAGCTATATTTTCATGAAAACTATACACTTTTTACAGCCATCTTCAAGTGCACAGGAGGTGAGTATGGCTTGATACCATAGCTGCAAATGTTTACTCAGTCTGTACAGCCACCGCCTTCCAGTGTTCAGAAAGAGCTGTACATCATTCCCACTGATGCACTGTGGAGATGTACACAATCTGTACTTGCTGAAATTACAAAATGGCTTTTATGGGTCCTTGGTTCATGAAATGTTCTCAGTCTACAGAGGATAATGTCAGCTGTCACTTCAAAGAAGTAAACAGAAAATGTGAAAAATTGCTGCTGTTGGCTAAAAGTTTTCTTCACCATACCAGGAATATTGGGAGCGCATGACGTGAATGGGGCCCGCAGGGACGAGGTATTGTGGGGATGAACGTGGTCTATGCTGCACATCTGTCAGCTTGTTCTCAGCTTAGCTGGCACTGCGCTGCCTCCAGCCTGCAAACCTGCCTGTCTGTCTCCATAATAAACTGCTGGCTATAAATACACATGTATTGTTCCTTCATAGCCCCTTATTTTTAGAAAGCCTTTTAATATTTGCATGAGGACAAAGAGTGTGTATATATAGGATGTTTGAGTTGATTTTATTGCAGTATTTCCCATGTTTTTCTACAATTTTTGCAGTGTTTCCTGAGATGAGGCAGAGGATTTGTCAAGATGATAGTTTATTAAAGTGAATTTGTGGCACTGTAATTAAATATTAAAAGGTCAACCTCCTCACCAGAAGGCTAACTGAACGCTTGCTACATCTGTCCTCGTATGGTTGCTAATAAAATTTATTTTTTATATTTATTTTGGTCATTTCTTTCCCCTTTGTTGTTTCATTTTAAACTAATTTGTAGTAGTAGTAGTAGTAGTTGTTGCTCCAACAAACAAAGGGGAACTAAATACACTAATCTACCAGTGGGTCTACGTAATTATCAGCCATTGTGGTTCAGTGTGACAGAACTTATTGTTGGTGATTGTAATACCCATGTGTGCGTCCTTCTTCCTTCTCTTTAACTAATTCAATATAAAGGTCCTGCATTCAGCTCTGTGCTCTCATACAGTTTTCACGTGGAAGATGTGAAATTGGATGATTTTGCCATCTCTGACCACAGCCGGTTTCCCCCAAAACTAATTTGCTCTTGCCCCCTAAATTCACTCTCTGTTCCTTTTTTCCTCAAGCTTTTAATGCATCAAACACATTTTTAACAAAGAACCTTGCTGCGGTGTTTTTATTAGGGCCTGCATCTTCAGTACCAATGCTCCTGTCAGATACAAAACTCCAAAGTCCTCCTCTTTTCCATGGCTCAATGAAGAGCGAAAGGAATTTGAAAAGACAATGCAAGAAGACAGAGTGGAGTGTCTTGCTTCTCTTAAACCCCTGATGTCCTTTAACAGGGCACAATACTTGAAGAAAGCTGATTGTTAATCATGGTCATAATCCATGAATGCTCTTTAAAACCATAAACTCTGTGATTGGTCCTTTACCTAGTCAGACAGTTGAGTCCTGCCCAGCATGAGGTGAAGACCTAGTCTGGGCATTTGATCTAAAAGTGTCAACAAAGAGGCTCAAAATTTGGTTGTTACATTTAAGTCAGGTTTGCAGTGCATAGTGCAGATCCTGCTCTTTTCCTTTGGTCCCAGTTTTTTGATCCAGCACCTGCTTCAGAGTTGTTCCGGATGTGCACGTCCTCCCTTTTGACTGTTCAGGTTTGTCCTTAGACAGTCAGGTAGCTAACGTTGTCCAGTCCTGCAATGTCCAACTGAGACACTTTGCTCTGCTTATCTGGAAAAGATTGTCCATGCTTTTATCTCGTCCAGCCTGGACTGTTAGCACGTTCTTTATTCTGGTGAAACATTTTAAGACTACAGCTGATGTAACACGCTGCCACCAGGCTTTTAACAAGCACTAAGAGAAGTGACCACATCCCACTAGTCCTTGCTGCCTTGCACTAGTTACCTGCAAGTTTCAGGATTGATTTAAAGAATTTCCTGGTTAATTATATCTGTGATATGTTGACTTGCTGTGAGCCTGATCACTGCATGAGGTCCTCTGGCAGGGTCTTGCTAATGGTTCCACAGTCTGGACTTGCTACCGAAGGAGACTGGGCCTTTCCTCAGCCGTGGAACTCGTCAAGCTCAGTACCCTCTTTTAAATCTCTTTTTAGAACACAGTTATCACATGGCCTTCTCTTAACTAATGTATTGTTGTAACTTCTCATGCTTTAGACGTCTGCTCTTGATTTGAATATTTTATTCTTTGTTTGTAATGTAAATCACTTTGCAACTGTGTTTTGAAAGGCGCTCCATAAATCAAATGATTATTATTGTTGTTATTATTGTTCATTAAGCTGTGTGGCCTTGTTTGACCAGTGACTGTTCCAGTAAGGCTGGATTAAAATGACACACATGAATGAACACATTCAGTTTTGTCCAGATCCAGCTGAAAAGGGTCACTGAATGGCATGTTGCAGCTGCTATGTCCCAACATTGGCTATTTTCTCAGCTTGAGGTTTACAAATGTTAAGGGCTATTTGCTGCACATACACCTCAGTTCATTTGGGCAACTTTTAGTCTAATTTAAGTAATTTGATTATTGTTCATTTTTATTTTGTTTTACTTAACAAAAAAGTGAAGAACATTCAGCCTCAGCTTCATCCTGTATTTTTAATTCTGGTCTTTTAAGTATCCAGAAGCTGCAGCTTGCACCACCTTTAGTCTCTGTAGTTCCAGTGGTTACAGATGTTCTTGTGTATTGCGAAGTTAGCAGTAAAGGCACCTTTTATCTATTCATAGCAGAGGGCTATATGGTTCACCCACACCGTGTCCATGTCAGTCCGAATCACTCGGCTCTGTAAATCCACTCGTCATCCCCAAACTCTGGCTGTTGTTCCTGCTCACTTATTGCATCTACCTGGTTTCTGTACAAAGCAGCTGGATCATTCAGATGCTGTGTTCACATATTCACTAATTTACTGTTCACAGTCTGGATGTGACATAAGATGAGCAGCTAAAATGTAGGGTCATATTCATGCAGAACTATTAAACGATGAAGTAAGGTCTAGATAGCTGACGACCAATACTTAGCAAGCAGCTAATTTAACTTCTGAAGAAGAGATATTTGTTGGGAAACAAATACTCCAGAGTGTGACTTTCAGTTTGCAAAGTCTGCATTATAGTGCATTTGTCCATCTTTCACTGGCTGCGTAGTTATTGTTCATTGACAAAAATCGCAAAACATTTTGTCATAGTCTTTGTCTTAAAAGGTTACTTTGTGGTTTTAGTCTTAATTTCAATTTGGAAAAAGGTTGTCTTGGTTTTTGGTCGCAAGCTTAACTTGTATACACACACACCTTAGTGGTAATACAGAATCCACCCATTATCAGCATGTCCTCTGTATTCATCATTGCACAATAAGTTAAAATATGGTGTGATCCATAGATGAAAACATGGTGACCATGTATTTTTCTTTGTTGTTCAGAAAGCGGACGACCGAGAGAAGAGGCAGGAAGCCCACCGTTTCCATTTTGATGCCATGTGAAGGAAGGCAACTCCACCATGAGAGAGCGTCTCCTGCTTTCCCCTCACCCACCTTTACACACACCCACTCAGTCTTATTTTGGTGCCCAATAAATGGATCCCCGTTTGCCCTAAAATGTTTCTTTTTTATATTTTTCAAGTCAAATGTGAAATATTTATGTCCCATTCCATTTTTTCCACTCACAAGTGTAAGGCAGGGGTGGCTGTATTCAGCAGCATGATCATCATTTGTGTTGTTACTGAGTGTTTGGACAAAATGACTCAGATTTCTGTTGAAACTCCCAATGAGTTACTTCAGTATTGTGCACTGTTGGTATATATTTATTCATTGGAAGGGGGGGCACCTTTGGCATGTGCTCAGATGTGTAACTTTACTTGAAATCCATGTGTGTGTTCCTGTCCACTGTCTTTGCCTGGCTGATTCAACTCTTTCTTTTTCATTTGACTGAGATATTGTAAAGGAATTCTTCAGGCTGTATTACCTGTGAAATTAAACTGAATTGAATTCTGTGATATCGATCTCTGCCACGCAGCTACAGCAGCAACTGGTGCAGAGGGAACAAAAATGGGCACATGCAATGATTCTGTGGACCATTTCTCTGCTACCAGTCTCACATGAAATGATGAATTTCTAGGTTTGCTCAGTGCAAATTCACCTTTTACTCTCCTGATCATATCACAGTGCATGATAGCAGTGCCAAAATCAAGTTTCTGTGTTGCATCCTGCAAATGTCTAATGCCACTGCATCAAGGATCAGTAAATGGTCCCTTTTAGCTTTATTTTCCATTTTAAAGTTAACTGGGCGAAACGCTCTAGTGTGTTCAAGATGCCTGTTTTACAAGGATGAGATCATGCCATTTCAGGTGGTTTGCACTTTTTTAAACTAGTGATTAACTGCAGGTTTATGTCATGTATTGTTTTGTGGATTTGATTTGCAAATAAATGTTTAAGCTACTAAGGGTGTTTACTTACTGAGGCTGAGAATAAAAATGTCTCTAGTTCAAACCAACGTTGGGCTGGTGAATTTATGGAACATTAAACTTCATGTCTTTTTTGTTCCACACTCCTTAAAGCTGCCCATGAAATAACTAGTGTTAAATTAAACAGTTTTACATCAGGTCCCAAAGCTATAATTTACCAGAGTTCTTCCCCTGAAACTCCTTTTAAAGAACACCTTTTGTTTATTGTGTCACTGGGCTGCTAGGAGGACGTTGACATTCAGAATAAGCATCTTTACATCCTCTCATTATCGAAATTTGTAGTGAGTCTAGCAGCAGTGAAATGAAACCACCTTTAATTTTCCAGGGGACCCCTGGAGACTCTTTGGAGCACCTCATTTCAGGAGCTGCCCTTCTAAATAATGCATGGAGAGGGTAAAGCTCCCCTGTGTGGCAAATGACAATAAGACTGTCTCAAGCTCTGGAACCTTCAAGTAGCTGTGTGTGTGTCTGTGTTTGCTGGAGACGGAGTGAGAGACCTAAAGCAAGGAGGAGGTGGTGTACCACAAGTTGCATTGAACCACACGGAGAAAGCGGGAAAGGAACCGGAAATGAGGTGGATTAGCCTTAAAAATAAAAGCATGCAAAAGAAAAGGTTTTGAAGTGCACAGGAGAGTTTTATCACTGCTAAACCCTAAAAACTAAGGAAGCAGAACAAACCCTGGTCGCTCATAACCTACAGATCCCTAACGGTACATTTAGACTGATATACTGTAAATGAACTACAAATGCGTCCACAAATGACTTCTTTGGATTTGATGGATATGAAGTCAAGCTGTTTTAGTTGGGTTTCATCACATTAGTGGTGAAAACGGAGCTACCGTGCACTTAAGGCGCCTTGTTTCCTCAGTAACATTAACAAGGAATATTTAGATAGTAGTTTATATCCCTGATCATTAATAAAGCAGCTTAAATGAAAAACCAGTTAATTGGGCCACGTGTATTTCTTTGTTTTTAGATTCCTTTTCACTTTTTTGTCATTTTAAAATTGGCAACAAGTCTACCAGTGTGGTTTTATTGTTGAAAATAGTGGGAGAAGTGGTGTCCTCGTTTTGTCTCCTTTGACGATGCTCACGACAAGCCACTCATTGATGTAAGCAGCGCCCGCGGCTTAAATGAGCCTCGTTCAGGAGCGTTTCTTAGTTCAGACACGGAGGGACAACAGGCAGAGAGGGACAGCAGGCAGAGAGGGACAACAGGCGGAGAGGGACAGCAGGCAGAAAGGGACAGCAGGCAGAGAGGGATTCTCGCCTTTCCTCTTTTCTTTGGTACTCTTTCTCCGTCTCTCTGTCTCCGTCCGTCATCCATCCGTATGCGTTTTTTGGATATCTGCTTCTTCTAGAGTGCATCAGTCCGTCTCCACATGCCCTTTCTGCTGTGGTCCCACTGGAACCTGTCTTCGCAGTAATGATGCCTGGCTGAACGGCTTGCGGCAGTGTTCACCTTCCAGTCAAACGCAGCGGGATCTCCGACTGAAGAACAGCTTTGGTGCCGCCGTCCTCTTGGAGCGTGGCTCTGTGTCTCATGGATTTACTGCTGTCAGAGAAAAGTTGGATTTTGTAAAGAGCCTTTTGGAGGCGGACAATGGACAGAATAGAAGGGCGTTTTTAGAAAGGTGCTTTTGGGTTGGAGTCACACAGTGAGAGGACATGCACAGAGGTGGGTTGTATACGAGCTATCCAAGCGTCGTGGTGCGCGTCAAGGTCCGGTTCCTTACGCAGAAAAAAAATCGACACTTTATGTTTGGATCTAATGCATTTATCCCTTTACCCTTGCTTTCTTTTTAGCAGTGTCTATATTTTATTTGCAGCTTATTTGATTTTCACAACGTATTATAAAGCCATGATGGTGACATGAAATGTTAAAACAGTGTCTGTGGATCGGCCTCAGAACAAATTCCGTAGTTATGAATTTCCCTTAAACTGAAACAGCTCAGGCAATTTACAGGTATATAAATGCAAAGTCTCCTTTTACTACCTTTGGCAATAGCTCCATTTCTCCTTTATTTGTCTTTAGTATGAGATTTCCCGCTGCTTATGACAAATCTTCCTGATTTGAACGACATTAGTCACTGGTTTATAACGCACCAGTTCAGGTTCCAGCATCTGTTGGTCTGCCTTCTATTTACAGCTAAAGCAGACCAGTTCTTTTAGGTTTGTTGGGTCTGATTGGTTCGAATCGGCTCGAGCTTGGGCAATGTAAACAGTAAACACAAAATGGTTCCTAAAACGTTTCATTAAAGCTGTACTGGTTTTAAACATTAAAAGTCATGACCTGACTGAAATGCTCCTACCCTGGACTATCTGTGAAAAGGCACCGGAACCGGAGCGGTGCTCCCGCTGACAGTCAGCTGAGGCACCGTGAGGTGTTCCCACACCAGTCTAGGTGAGTCCAGTCTGACAAAGGTCAAATGCTAGTGAAATATGTGCATTACAACCACCAGGGAGCACAGCAGTGTTTCCCTAAGAACATCTGGTCTGTCACACATTGAACCCCAGATATGTGGTCACGACAAGACGAGCGTGTTAGGTGCCTGCTTACTCTCATGCAATAGGCTGTTTCTCCGCTCTGCAGAGCTTCACAGCGTGACGCCGCTGTCCGTGCTTCTGCTTCACGCGATTAGCCTGCGCGCGTGCTGCTGCAGCCCGGGTCTCGCGTAATCAGCACCTGAGGCACGCGTCGTAGCAGACAGCTGCAGCAGCTCTCGGTGCGTTCAGTGGAGTAGTTTACTGCAGTAGCTGTGAAATGAAACAGGTAAGTATTTGTAAATCGTGTGATCATAAGCAATTAAACGGCAGCGACGTTCAATTTAGCTTAATTATGATGCAGTCTAATTAGCTGTTAAGTGGCCACAGATGTAGCCCACCTTAAGGCTACCACGTGACACACCACAGTGGCGTCATTCGGCCTTTTCAGTGTAACTAACTATGACACCCAATGAAAAATAATTTCATCTTCATATTAACTGGGATTAGGAAGCTTTGTTAGCCGCCTCACTGTGGTTCACCTACCTGCTCTGCCCTTCCCACAGGGTACAGGAAACTTCTACATTGCAGCTCTTATTTGGTTTCCAGTCCTTCTTCAGTCCTGTATTACCGAAAACTATTTGCCTTCTGTTTTTTGTTTGTTTGTTTGGTCATATCTAGTCAGTTTGGAAAGAATAAAGCAGATTACACCCTTAAATTGCTTGTTAACAGAAGTGGGAAGTGATGGAAACATGGAAAGATAAAACAGGATAAACAGGGTTTTCCACTTGGCCTTTAAAAACAGAGGTCAGATCAAACCTATTTCACACCAAATATTTCTTGAAGGAACTTAGTTATGTGTTGTTGAAATGAGGCCATTAGGGAAGACAACAGATAAGACCTCTGTGTTTTGTGAAATAACCTAGTGACTGATATGCTTTATGAGCTGTAGTGTTTGTTTCGTGTTTTGTAAAATAACCTAGTGACTGACATGCTTTATGAGCTGTAGTGTTTGTTTCCATTTTCACAGATTCATCACAGTTTTTATACATTATTGCTTGTGATTAGCATTTTACAAAAGATGTTACAAAGGCCTAGAAAGTATGCAACTTTAGCTTATTAACTTTTTTGGAATGTAGATATATACACATTTCTGCCAGTGCAGCTCAGAGTAGCTCTTTGGTTTATGCTTAAAACAACCACTGGCACAATCAGTGTATTTGTGACAACCTTAAGCCACTGAAATGCTGAAAAGATTCTCATTTTGCATGTTTTGTTGAGGGTCAGCAGCAGTTTGCAGTGTTTGTACCATCTACCAGGTTTAGGGACTGGCTTGTAGTATAAAATGAGGTTGGCTGAGGTTGGGTGGTCTGTTCTCTAAGTACCCCTGTGCTGGCTCATACCCCCACCTACGATCCTTCATCGCAAGATAATGGAGATAGATGTAATGAGGATCCTGGAGCCTGAGGGACACGTGTATGCATGCATTTCAAAATGAGTCAATTCAAACATGCATGTGCTCACTGGTGCAATTGCATTCACTGCTTATGTCATCTGTGCATTCTTCTTCTTCATCCACCCCCACCCCTTTCTCTCCCTCTCTCTCTCTCCTTATTTCCTGGGTGCCATTGTGCAATGAGCCAGGCTCAGGCTCCCTCACTAATTCAATTTGAGCAGGCCAACCTATTATGAACTCCGTGGGGCTCAGGTCTACAGTGGCTTATCAGAGCAAGACAGTGTCAGAAGCTGTAACGTGCTCGCCCACAGTGCAGATATTGTTGGAACACAACATATTTCACCTATTGTCTGTATCTGCGCGCTGCCCAAATGTCTGGTCTCCTCATCGGTGCTGTAAGCCTTGGAGCCTGTTTCCTGCTAATGCTTTATGTCTGTGGTGCCCAGAGGCTGCAGGTTAGCAGGTTCAAGTCTTGTGGCTGGGATGAGACTTAATGGTTTGCAACTATATAATTAAGCACTGCTTTTTTCCTCCTGTTACTACTGCTATTATTACTGCCAAACCCAGCTGTACAGCTGTAGCTGTACTACTTTTAACGTTGTCCTGCAACGATCCTGTCATTAGTACTACTTATGCACACATTCATTCTAGTATCACAATAGATTAAGCAGCTGTCACTAACCTATTTAAGAGTCTCTGCATGTTGACATTCCCCAGGAACTAAGACTTAAATCTTGAACAAAGCCACAGCACTTTAACCCTATTCAGTACACTGTATATCAGCAGGCTTCTGCATCCAAAACCACTTCTACCTGTGTACTTTAATGCCACTGCTAGTACTACTGCAGCTGTACCTCTTCTTTACTGCAAGTATCTATGTATCATCAAATCATAGCTCTGTTTTGTATATTATGGAAACTATTAATTAATTGGCAGAAACTTGATTACTACTGTAATAATCAGTTAATATTTTAAATCCCTAACACTAAAAAAGCCACAGCTTGTCAGTTGAGTGACTTGTGTGCCGCTGTGTTGTTCTAGCTAAGAGTAACGTGAATATTTTCAGGTTTTAGTCTGTTTGTGTGTGTGTGTGTGTGTGTGTGTGAGAGAGAGAGAGATTTTTAAAAAAACATTTTAGGAAACACAAAGGCATTTCAGCTACACATCTTCCACACTCAGTATCTTTCATTTACAAGATGATTCACTACTAAATGCTTCTGCTGTATTTTCCCAGCATCGCCCTTTCATGAAGGCTTTACTATACAGACACTGATATGATTACACTCTAAATTCATGCCAGTATTAAAAAGACAGGCCTATGCTGATATATAACTTAAGATGATCTTGTCTCTCACAGTTCATTTAGTTCATTTACCAGTTCAGCCTGGGATTTACTTAAAAATTGTATTGATGTATATTTTACTCACTATTCATCATGGTCAAATAAAATCAGTGCACCCACTGATCAGACATACTTAGTCTGTGGCCATTAAGTGATCTCCTTTTAATGCTGTTGTTGAACACAGAGATATAAATGCCGTGCTCTATCATGTGTGACTAACGTGTAATGTCTGTTTTACAGCGTGGATACTCTTCTTTCTAATAGAAGAGGGGTTCGCTTTGGCACAGAGAGCTAAAGGTAAGCTTTAGCTCAGATGCCTTTGTATTTCATTTATGTTGTTTCACCCACAGTGAACCGATCTGATACGAGGGGGGGGTTCTCTCTGTCACATAGGACAAAAGCATTCTTTTCTTTATTCTGTTGTGCCTTTCCTTCATTTTTATTCCCTGACTGCTTTTTCTCTTCCTCACTCCTGCCCTCTTTCCACTCTCCCTGTTTTTCAGTCTCATTGATCCCCCGGCTCAGTGACCCATCTGTGTCTCTTCTGCCTCTCTGTTTTCAGATTCCCAGAACGATCATGGCGGCCAGAGCCCCAGCCAGAGTGACTGTGGCACCTGGGTACGCAACATCAATGGTGGGGTGTTCACATCGCCAAACTACCCCAACACCTACCCACCCAACAAGGAGTGTGTTTACATCCTGGAAGGTAAAGCCTTTTTCAGCTGAATGCGTCATCTTCTGCTTGGTAGCTGGTAGCAAAACAGCTGACATGGTTTCCCGCCGTTGAGCATATTGCCTCCTCCAGTGAATGTCATTAGTTTGAATGACATTGTTGTACACAGCCTTGCCCCTGTCTGATTTTCTGTTCCTTTGCTGGTGACCAATCAGCCTAACATTTTCCGAATGAGCCGTCCCAAGCTTGTTTCACTGCACAGGCACACAGTATTCCTTTGAAAGAGGCGAAAAGCGGTGCACTGTGGGGGAGCCCCTAACTTCTGACCTAATCAGAGTAGTGCTGTGTTCATCTCTACTGGCAGGGTGTGCCAGAAGAGTCTGGTATTGAATGAAACATAGAGGAGGTGAACATCTGCTACACAGCTGAACTTCAGTGGCATACCACTGAATCGCAAGTGGCCTCGTCATCACCTAAGTGTTTACCAGAAATAATCACAGCCATCAGTAATTGGGTGCCATCACTAGCAGGTATAGGAGATGAGGTCTGGGATATTGGTTGGTGTATTTATTCTAAATTGATTAACAGTTTCATGCAGATGAGATATATGCTTGATACATATATACATAGATGCTATGGTGGGGAATAGATTTTACACATGGCTCAAGGGCTCCCCCTGTGGACAAAGCAAGCCCACAACCGTTGTTCATGAATAAGCTGTGACTCCATTGCAGGCATCCTACTGGTGTTTGCACCAGTACATCACAGTGGGTCTGGGAAGCCAGAGATTCAACCTGTCAGTTACGATTATTTAATCCTGAATGGTCTTAGTCATATTCATATCCAAGCTCCAGTGTTGGGCCTTTTATTCTGCTTCTCAAAGAGGGAGAGATGTACACGTTTTACATAATTGCTAATCTTATAGCCTTGTAATCACAATTTGTGGTTAGTGAGGCTCATTGATTGTGTCGTGTCCTCCAGTTCATCAGCTCAATAGATCGAGTGATTATACTTTCTGCTCTTTCTGTATCAAGCTGTGTCATTTATGTGCGGGTGTGTGTATCAGAGAGAGAGAGAGAGAAATAGATGGCTAAAGAGAGAATGAGCTTCAGCACACCAGGTAACAAACAAAGATAGCAGGAAGTACAGGCATATGAGCTGCTCGCTCAGGCAGAAAGAACACTCAGGCTCAGATCCACAGACAGGAACAGAGACACAAGTGCACACAGAGAAGAGACTGCTGTGTTACTTTATTTCAGCTGGAGACTGTAGCATACACATGTACCACCCTTGACCTCACTCTTTCATTTCTAATGGGGCATGCTTGACTACTACACGCCTGGTGTGAGTCACCCCACACCCCAAGCATCTTTATTTAGTATGGTTCATGTCCCAAGGCACATGGGTGGGATTGCTCTTATTAAAATGAATCCTCTCTGTGTGCGGGCTTATGTTAGTAAAGAGCTCTGCCCACTCAGCACAGAGACAAACTCCAGATTTGAACTTGTGAACTGCAGTTCATGCTGTGGTGGTGGGTTCTCAATTCACTGACTCACAGACAGCAGTGCTGACATGCTGGACAGCAGCCCCTTTTATCTTTGTGTATGCTTGTGTGTATACCTATGCCCATATGTTTGAGTGAGCTTGTGCATGTTTATGTGTGAAACATGCTTGATATGTGAATATGCACCTTTATAGTGGGGTGAGAATCCCTCATGTTGGTCAATATTAAAATGATGTCACAATGTCTCTTTGTCGTGCAAAAGAAAGATTTATTTGAATACTTTCCCCCTTTGTTTCCTTTCTCTCCCATCTCCATTGTTCACCAAAGCTCTCCCTAGACAAAGGATTCAGCTTGCTTTTGATAAGAACTACTACATCGAGCCCTCATTTGAATGCCGCTTCGATCACATCGAAATCCGTGATGGGCCATTTGGGTTCTCACCACTTATTGATCGCTTCTGTGGGGGAAAGAACCCAGGCTTGGTCACATCAACGGGACGTTTCATGTGGATTAAGTTCACCAGTGACGAGGAGCTGGAAGGCCTTGGCTTTCGCATCAAGTACACATTCATTGCAGGTACAGATGCACAAACTCTGAAGTTGCAGTGAGTTTGACTCAGCCTCAGATTCTTGAAGCTGATTTGCATACACATCAAAGGTTGTGAGTAGGATGTGAAGAGAACTGGATTAGTTTGCTGAAGTCACCCAAAGTATAAAATAGATCTCAGTGTAATAGAAAAGATACCATCCTTAACAAAAAAAAAAAACACATTTCCTGCATTCCCCACCTTGTTTTGTTTGTTCATTGCCACTACAAGCTGACTGAACATCAGCAGGCTGGACATCCACAGGTCACCATGAGGTGTCCAATTTTCCAAACATGATAGGCTTCTTCCCTACCTTTTTTCTAGCTCTTCAGCAGACACATGCGCAACATCAGAGCCTCCAGAAACTGAACCCAATATGTCTAGAAATCAGCGTCTCCCATCAGGTGACAGATATTAGCTTCAAACAGACCCTTTCTGTTTTATCTGGCCTGCCTTAATGGGATCTTATCTTGTGTTCTCTGCTTACCTACGTCTGCTGTGTGGATTGAGAGTAATGTGCCTCCCAAATCTTATCATTTCAGACCCCGATTTCCATTTGCACGTGGGCGGACTGCTAAACCCCATCCCAGGTAAGCTCTTCAGTATTTCATCGGTTTGTGTTCAATCCTTTTTGAAGAGCTCCTCTGTTCTCAGAAGCTTCCTGAAGGCTATCTGTCTCCGATGAGAATGCTGGACACCCAAACGTACCTTAACAAGCACACGGTTGTATGTAACATTAAAAAATGTACATGCATACTCATGCACACATTTAAACACATGAAGGAACATACACCTTTTTTATCCAGCTCTTCCCTTCTGTCATCCTGTCTTTGTTCCTCTGTCTTCTGATTGGCCTTTGTCCTGGTTTGCTGTGCTCACTTCAGTTTCACCTTAAATCCTTGACTTCTTTAAATAAAAACCTTCCTCTGTCCTTCTTTATGTCGTGATTCTCTTCTCTTCATACCCCTTTTCCTCTTGCTCCTTTTTTATTTTATTTTATTTTTTGCTTTCTATTTGTTCTCAGGATTCTCTCATGTATTTCCATGTGAGACTCCTTTCTCACCTTCTGTACTTTTAACCCTCTCTATCCTGTTCCCTGTCTTTTTTCTGTCAACCTGTTCTCCACATTTCATCTATCTCTTTACAGACTGTCAGTTTGAAATCAGCGGATGGGATGGGATTATTCACTCTGGTCAAGTGGAAGAGGAAGAACGAGTGAAGCCTGGTGATGCTCTGGATTGTATCTGGACCATCAGGGCTCCTCCTCACTCCAAGGTCAGTACAAGTGTTAGTCATCAGGAACGATGGCATGAGCTGCTTCTGTCCTGTTCTTCAACCCATGTTTGGTACTAAAGTCATTTTAACATACCTGACAAATGGCTTAATTTACTGTATGTAGCTATTATATAAACTCTAAACACCCTGAGAATAACTCTATGCAATAGAGTGTTAAGTGTTCAAGGACATCACTCTCAGTGTTTTGTAAGACCTCTCAGTTCAATTTATTTTGGTCACAGAGTTTATGTTTTCCAAATTAGTAATCGGCATAAATGGCAAAAACTTGCATGAATTATATTTTTTTATGTTTTTTTTAAAATTATGTTTTATTTCCCCATATCTAAGATGGAACATGACAAGTGAACTGCAGTGCCTATAAAAAGTATTCACCCCCTTGGATGTTTTACCCTTTTACTGATTTTATAAATCAATCATGGTCAATATAATTTGGCTTTTTTGAAGAAAAACCCCCCAAACATTTAATGTCAAAGTGAAAACAGATTATTCAAAGTAATGTCAATTAAATAAAAATATGTAGTGTGAAATAAGTGATTACATAAATATTAACCCCCTTTAATATGACTGACCTAATTCAACAGCAAATTGGTGCTAGTAGTCTCACAAGTAGTGAAATGGGGTCACCTGAGTGCAGTGAATGTGTCTCAAGTGACTGTAGTATAAAGACACCTGTGTCTGGAAGGTCCAGCCACTAGTTAATCAGTATTCCTGGCTACTATTACACCATGAAGACAAACAAACACTTCGTGCAACTCCGAGAAGAGGTTATTGAAAAGTACAAGTCAGGGGATGGATACAAAACATTTCCAAGGCACTGAACATCCCCCAGAGGAGACTAGTGAGAGAGGCCACCAAGAGGGAAGGAGGTACAAGCAGCTGAGGTGGGAGAGACTCTGCATACAACAACTGTTGCCCGGGTTCTTCACCAGTCAAAGCTTTATGGGAGAGTGGCACAGAGAAAGCCACTGTTGAAGAAACTCATATTAAATCTCGACTAGAGTTCACCAAAAGGCACGTGGGACACTCCATGGTCAGATAGAAGAAAGTTCTGATGAGACCATAATGGTGCTTTTTGGCCATCAGACAAGACGCTATGTTTGGCAGACACCAAATAATTGCACATCACCACAAACACACCATCCCCACTGCGAAGCACGGTAGTGGCAGCATCATGGTGTGGGGATGCTTCTCGGCAGCTGGTCCTGGAAGGCTTGGAAAGGTAAAGGGTAAACTGAATGCAGCAAAACATAGGAAAGTCCTGGAGGATAAATGTATTCAGTCTGCAAGAGAACTACGGCTTGGGAGAAGAATCAATTTCCAGCAAGGCAATGACCTGAAGCATACAACCTGGCAGAGCTTGAGCAGTTTTGTAAAGAAGAATGGAGCAGTGTCCAGATGTACAAGCCTGATTGAGACCTATCCACACACACTCTGTGCTGTGATTGCAGCCAAAGGTGCATCTACTAAATACTGACTTGAATGGCAGTGAATATTTTTTTCTCTTTTGTATTCTTAATGTAACAACAAATGTGATGTCAGTCTTTGTTTTAATGGAGATTTCAGGATCAACATGCATAATGACCGTCTCCTTCATTCAAAGCGTTTCCTTCTCTCATCTGCCTTTGTGTCAGTGGGAAATTACTTTCTAGCCTGCTCTTTTCCAAACAGTGTAAGTAAACAAGCAGTCAAACAATTGTTTACAGAATCTTATAACCTGTAGTGGTTTACTTCATTTAAATATTTGCATGAAGGCATATAAAGTAATAGTATTGTGTGTTCTGGTCACGGAGAACAAATTCTCCAGTGGTCATGTCTGTATTGTGACTGTCATTTCAGTAGACTGTATAAAGGCCATGGGTTTTGTCAATACAGTATGGGCAGTGGTATGCAGCCAATTTTTATTTATAACTTACAGTCCTGGAGATTCAAAAGTACATTTTCTATCCAGGAGTGAAAGCTTGATGTGTTCTGATATTTATGAGTGGACATCCAAAGTCCTGTTGAAATTACAGCCATAACTTGAGTATGAATCAAGGTTACTTGTTTCTCCCTCAGGACTAAATGAGTCATCAGCACACTCCTGTGCTATTCACTGGCCACTATATATTGACACACTCACATGCATAAATTCATGTACATCTAATTGGGTATGAAACAGCAGACGTACACATACAGTCGCAAATTACTGTAATGACATCTATACTTTATTTACACATACAAAGTAATATTTTACACATATACATGTAAACATTCATTTCTCTGTCTCTCTCTCTCACACACACGTACATAGTGTTTCCATTACTTCAGGGGACTGGCCCTGCTGAGTGGCCCTAGCCATATATTAGCTGAACGAAGCAGAAGGCACAGAGCAGCACAGTCAGCAAAAGAGCAGCTATTTAACTGTTGCATGGTTACAGGTGCCTGTGTGCAAAATGCTGAAGTTTCATCTAAGGTGCTGTGGCCAACATCTTATCACTACTGATGATCTGACTTGTTCCCCGGGTGTTTAGACATTCATTTTGTAATTACTTTGCAAGTAAAAACTTACTTTAACAGCACAGTATGTTTAGGCTAACTAATGAGCAAACAAGAATCTGGTGTGCAGGCAGGTGGCTGGTTACAGTGATAGTCATGAGGTATACAGAGAGGAGAAACTCACTGAGGACCTCTAGTGAACAAGTGTAGCCCATTGGCTCTGCCATAGCGGTTTCCACAAAGGCCACAGAGCCACAATTAGCACAGATGTTAAAATAAGGCTAAAGAAAAGTAAGTCATAGAAACAAACGATAAACTCTTATCAAATCCAAACAAAATGTTAACGTTTTAAATGAATCCCTGTCATAAAAGATACTGACATAGTTCAAAATGTAAATATCAGTGGATTAAAATACAGTCTACAAGAATAATGTTTAACAGCAAAGTTTGACTCCTTTTTAATTATAGGAGGTAGCTTATACCATTCCATGGCACCAGAATACAGAGAGAGAGTCTGATTTGTCTTGAATTTAAATCTATTTCTCTAAGAGTTAAGTTTGCTGCACCAGCTATGAGTGGCCATAATGTGGCATAAATAATAATGATGCATTATATTTAGTTGAGCAAGCTCAAGGGCCCTTGCATTGTGTATGCTCACCAGATAGAATGACCAGTGTTATTAGTTAAACCTGTGAAAATGTTATATTCAGAGGCTGAGGAATTGAGCTTTTTGCCTGCAACACCCCGACTCCCCAGGGACCTATGCACAGGCCCTCTTTGTGGACTTCAGCTCAGTGTTCAACACCTTCATCCTGGACATCCTCTACTCCAAACTGACCCAGCTCACTGTGCCTGCCCCCACCTGTCAGTGCATTACTAGCTTTCTGACAGACAGGGAGCAGCAGGTGAGGCTGGGGAAAACCACATCCAGCACCCAGACAATAAGCACAGGTGTCCCCCAGGGATGTGTGCTCTCCCCTCTGCTGTATTCACTCTACACCAATGACTGCATCTTGAAGGACCCCTCTGTCAAGCTCCTAAAGTTTGCTGATGACACAACAGTCATTGGTCTCATCCGAGATGGAGATGAGTCAGCCTACAGATGGGAGGTTGAGCAGCTGGTCCTGTGGTGTAGTCACAACAACCTGGAGCTGAACATGC